GAAAAAGGGGGGGGGGCGCAACGGGCCCCGGGAGCCTCTCGGTGCCCTCGCACGCACTCCACGCATCAATCTTCTTCGCCAACAATGTTCGCGTAAATTACCCTCATCGATATCAAAGTGACGAGGGTGGCAGTCAGCGACGGCCGGCGATGGAGCTTGCGGAAGAGACCGACCCTTATCTCGCGCGCGCGTTAGAAAATTGAGTTTACAGAGAGAGACCCTCGCGAGAAGACTCGTCCTCGAAAGAAGGAAAGGCCCCTTTCCTCTTTCCTCCTTCCTTTCCGTCACTCGCACACGACGAACGTTTCGTCCTCTACCTCGCGATGCCGTATCCCTACGGCAACCCTTCGCCGAGAGTTTTAAAGCGTTACGAGAGATATCAAGCTTCTCAGAAAACAACGGGAAATGGAGTAAATGAAGAAAGGGAAAGTCTGATAAACTTCCCTTAGAAATCCGTTTCGAAACATATTATTTATTTCGTGCAATAAATAATTCGCTAACGAGAATCCAGAAATCATCCCAAAACATGCGTTATCATCCGATTATTAAATTTATAAGAATTTATATTATTTTCACGTCCGGGAAGAAACTCATAAAAATATTCACTATTTTATTTTAACTATCATAACCGCGTGTAGCAGTTTAAAAATATTTTTTTAGCACCACAGGGAAGACTAAGGTAAAACGATAGCATATGGAAATGCCTTTGTACCAAATTTCGATATGGAGGCCAGTTGTAAATTCAAATATGCGCCTTTGAATGCAGCGACACCCCCGATCGCGCTATAAATTATTAGCATAGTAGCACGCCCGGAGCATACCCGCGATACGTACACGGTGGAGTTTGTAATGCGGCCTTAAATCTTCTTCAGGCGTCTTCGGCAACTCGGAGGCCGCCGGAGAAAAGCTGCGCGGTAGGCGCGGGATTATACCGTAAAAGTTTCGACCGAATCAACGATGGCGTTAGTGCGCCAACGATAGCGAGCTTAATGTACCGTTATGATCTTTATGGCCGCCGTTTATAGACCATTATGATTGAGTTTTCGCGCCAAAACAGACTCGGGACGTTCTGCTCGGGAGAGATCTTACAAGATCTTACGATTTTCGTCGTAAATGTTCTTCCTTGAGAAACGAGAAAGAGGGAGGAGACGAGACAGCGTTTCGTGGAAGGAAATTATTTTTTAAGTACTAAGTTTTTTCACGAAGATGGTCGTCTCTCCACCCGCGACGATTTCAGCTCAAGATTTTTCCTGAGTAACTTTGTTTCTACGAGGGAAAGGGGTAACTTACTTTTATACAAATGGAAGTCGGCTAAGCGCTATCGGGGCAAAACGTACGAACGCTTTCATACCTCGTTGATTTATTTACATGCCTCATTCTTTTTTTATTTTATCGCAATCGGTGTAATGTAGAATAACAAAAGCTGTCGCTCTACATAATAATTCACTCTTCGCTTTGTTAGGTTTTATCCACCGTCCAAGGAACATCATTGCGTCCGGATCTGAAGTCTATTCCTGCGAGCTCCTTAACGAAGCTCATTTTCACCATTTTCGAGAAGCCGAGGGGTGCCGCAGATCCGCGCGCTAATTGCATTAATTGCGAAAATCTTCCCCGCCCCGTGGCGCCTTAAGCCAAGAATCAGGGAAAATTTTGCATCTTCGAAAGAGCGTGGCTGCTCTCCCCGTTCGCCGATACGCGGCTATTTCAATCAAACGAGAGGGTGGAGCAAAAACCCACCGAGATACTATCTTCGATCGCGCGGTGGTGTATTACCGCGCGTTTAATCGGCGCGATCACTGGCGATTAATTCGATGGAGCAAATTGCGATTAGAAAAAGCGTGCTTGTCGTGTCGTAACGGACCGGACGGTAACCCTCTCCCCCCCTCCTCCCCGTCATGCGTTTAAGTGCACGCGACAGAATATATAATGCGCGGATAAAGTCACGACAGGTCGACGAGCCGGCGCAGCGGGCTCGCCCGCGGCAACAAACTATTCGAAACGGCGATAACGAGCTGTTTCTTTCATCGAGAGGAAGCGTGTTAATCCATTCCCGTCCGGGGGACTTGGACCTCGGGCTCTTCCCCCTGTCCTGCGATGATCGACCGCGTATCTCCCGCGGGAGATACGCCGTAGTTACGAGGTACGAGATTAGCTTCGCCGTGTCTTCCCTCGCCACCCTCGCCCCCTTCCCCCCTCCTCACCCGAGCGAGGTGGAAGCGATTCTTACTCTCGGCATCACGACGAAATCGAAAATCCTTATCGCTCGCCATGCCGCATGAGTAACTCTTCCTACGCTTTATCGACATTTTACGATACATGCCCGACAGCTTTATCTGTTATTATTACGTCACATATTTATCTGCTCGCTCGAAGCCGTCACAAGCTCGGAGACTAATGTTTCCGAGACAAATATTTTTGTCCCTTCTAATCCTCGGGTTATTTCGTGATAAATAAATATCTCGGTAGAAGTTAAACAATGACACAGTAACGTATATAATTACTATGTAACTTACTTATATAGTTACTGTGTACAGCTACATTGTGATATAGATATCACTTTTGATATCACTTTTAACAATAGCGTCACAATTTTAATAGAAATTTCAGTTATTTTTAGTGCAGAGAAGGAAAAAAATTTTTATATATATTATCATTTTAATAATATGAGTGACATAGATCTGGAAGAGAGCGAAGATATTGATTCGTATAATGTATGTATCTACTCTGTAAAAACTGTGAAAATGCGAGAAAAGCATTGTTCATAATCTATCGTATCATTTTAGGAAGACGAGACTTCTGAAGACAGGAATAATTCATTTCGAATAATAAGAAATGTTTTAGTAGGCAAAAGAATAAGAAATCCATTTTGTGGAGAGATACCGAGTTATAAAACTCTGAATCATATTGGAAATTATATTTTGGATATGTTGAAATCTGCACCAACTTTTGTCGGTCAGGTAAAGCACATTAAAAACAAATTTTATTTTATGTGCATCGCACGAGAAGACGATGATATATGATATTATTAATTAGGAACGCAAAAACGAGATGTTTTTACTAGACATGTTATATAATTGGCTATTAACACGATTGACACGTGTTACAGATCGATGCAAAAACAGGAATTAGAATTACATTCCAGGAGATGAGAGAGAAAAGCGTGAAATGCGCATTATGGCTGAGAAAGCAACGTGTCTGTCACAAAAGTATAATAACAGTGTGTACCAAGAATCAATTGGATGCTTACATACCATTTTTGGCAGGCTTGTATCTTGGTTGTAAAGTGAATCCGTTAGATGAGTATTTCGTTAGAGGTAAATTGTCTTATCCGTTTATGAGTACCTACTTATCTATTTTCTTTCATTCTATTTACTTATTATAAAAAAAATTTTTTTTAGGAAATTTAGATTATTTTCTGCAGAGAGTCAAGCCAAATGTAATCTTTACCAGCGCAGACATCGCCATGGCTGTACAATTTGCGTGTACAAAGATAAGGACAAACAACAATAAGTCTTTGGCAAAAATCGTAGTTTTTGATCATTCTAACGCTTTCGAAAGTCTCCATTCAATTCTGACTCACTTCAACGAATACGCTATTGACCACTTTTCTTGTCCAAAGATAACTATGAACGAAACTGCGATGATACTGTTCTCTTCTGGTACGGATGATCTTCCCAAAGCTGTAGATATTCCTCAAACAGTTTTCATGGCTCCCGATCAGGCACCCCTTATGTGTAACAATGACATCGCAATCTGGTTCGAATCCTTTGGTTTCATCACTGGCATGTTCCTGACTATTAAGGCGATCGTTACGTGTGTGACAGCGATTAAAGTCCAGTCAACGTTCTGTGCGAACGATGCGTGCAAATTGATCGAGAAATATAAGGTAATATAATAACAATGATACATATTTCTAAAAATAGATACCTATATATTTTTATATATTTCTAAGAATACATCTATGAAAGATCTATGAAATATTGCTTCTTCCAGATAACGTGGATGTTTCTTCAAACTGACGTGTGTGCCGAATTGGTTAAAACCGTTGATCTTACAAAATATGATGTCTCTTCTCTGAAAAAATTTGTATTCGGCGGCTCGGCTGTCTGTCATGAAATTCACGCGAGTCTTATCAACTTACTGCCATACGCTTCTGTTATTCAAGTATACAGTACGTATACTCGTTGCAATTATATTATCAAGAATTGATGATATATAAAATATATGATTTGATTCAGGTCTAACTGAAACAGGTGTAATCGCTTACCAACATCAGACCGGAAAGATTGGGTCCAATGGTTACGTAGCTAGGAACATTAAATTGAAAATCACGTCTGTATGTCCTTCACCTGAGGATGCCCCGTTAGGATCAAATATGCAAGGTTATATCTGGTGCCGTTCCATATTTCTGATGAGAAATTATTATATCCAACCCATACGTAGAAAAAACTATTGCGGTAATTTGTTGGAACTACTTTTAATTAATAATTAATAATTTTATTATTTTTATAAAATGAAATGTATAAAAAAATTTGAAGATTATACACAAATTATTAACGGAAGTATATAGTATTTAAATTAAATTTGTAGATGGATGGAGGACAGATTGGTTCAAAACTGGAGATATAGGCTATTACGATGAAGATGGCAATGTTTTCGTCACCGAGCGGGCGAATCAGGTTTTTAAATATAAAAAGAAGTCAATTTCACCGATGAAAATTGAGGCCGTGCTACAAACTCATCCTGCAGTGCTTGATGCCGTTGTAGTACCTGTACCGTACGCTTTTGAGAATCAATTTCCAAAAGCATTTATCACAAAAGTGGCTGGAAAAGAGGTCTAAAGCTAGTTATTTTTCATAATATAGATCGACAAAGAATTATATACAAAAGATTCACGTTATTGTACTTTAGGTAACGGAAGAGGAATTAAAGCAATTGGTAATAGAAAAATTGAATCATGATTATGAGCTTCGCGCTGGTGTAATATTCCTTAGCAAGATGCCACGTAATTCAAACGGAAAAATTCAACGAAAGGTATTCCATTGCTGGGCGCAAGTTGATGCGTGGAATGAAACATAAGCATAATTTAGACAGAGGGGGGGGGAGGGATATATTAATATAGAAGAATATATCAATAAAATATATTTTAACGTTGTATGAAAAGAAAAAAGTGACAAAAATATTTAAATTACTTAATACAATCTTAAATAATTAAACACATAATTTTATAACTTTATCTGTTATATAATATTATATAATTCAAAATATATGCAGGATATTTCATTTTAACTTTTGCATCAAAATATTTGAATTTTGAAAATGTGGACATGAAAAAAATATTTCAGACAAAGATTTCAAGGAATTTATATTATGATATTTGCAGATAGAAATACCTTTTTATTATTATAGAATAGAATCATCATTTTTGTTACAAATAGATTAGTATGTTCTCTTATAAAGAGAAAGGATACAGTTGTTTTTTAAAAAAAATATGTATTTGCATAATGTTTTTTAAAGCAACTGTATCATTTTTGCACCTTTATTTTTACACACATATATATGTATATACAAACATACATATTACATATATTTTATATATATAT